TGCCTGCTTATCGTTCAACTCGGTCTGGTATCGCCATTCATATGCGTAAGATGGTATCCTGGAGCCTAAGTAAATCTCATCAAAATTAATTCGGTCAACATTCTGTCTATTATTTCTTTTAATACGTCCAGAGAATGGCGAGTGCCGGGTTGCTGGCCGGCATCGCAGACGTCCAGCCCAGCGGCGCAACACCGGCAAGAGTGCGGCATCAAGACTGGACTGAAGCCGACTTCGTGGGGGTTCCTGTTGGTTTTCAATGTGAGTCCGATGAACGAGAGGAGCGCAGCAGGCAGGCGAACCGACCGGTGAAGCCATAAGGGAGAGGGAACCATTAAAATATTTCTTTTCCCGATCGGTGATCTTGTAGAGCTCTGGCACCTGCGTAAAGTTCCACCACCAGTCCTCCGGGCGCTGAGGGGCATGAGCCAGCTCAGAAGCAAGCCCCTGATTACTAAAAAGCTCTAAATCGTGTTCCAAGTCGATATTTGAGTTAAGACTATAGTGGTCAAGAGGAAAAGCAGAGACTGGAAGTTTGGCTTTTGATGGGGGGAAGGTGTGAGTGGTTACGAAATAAGAGAAGTTGTTGGAGCCAAGTAGTTCAGCGCGAAGACAAAGCTGTGTGTGGTTAAAACAACGCAAGTAGGCAAGATATGTTCCGAGTGCCTGAAAGTCAAAGTAAATTGTTGTAAAAGAATTAATGGCGTATCAAGATTTATCAGGGAGAAATTTAGTAGGTATTTAATATCAATACGGATTTTAGTCTATGAAAAATGTCTCATTTGAATCAAGGCAATAAACGTTTAATACGAGTAGAGACTAAGGCTGCCTGTACGTACAATATATAAGGAATTCATTTTTTACGTTTTGTTAAGTAGTTTAAATTAAACTTATTTTTGATTATTTCAAAATAGTATAAAACAGCTGAGTTGAATAATTAAAGCTAAATGAAAACATTAATGAATTAAATACAATACAACAAAGGATGTCAACTTATTGACGCTTCATGCTGGGACTTATCAATCTATAAAATAGAGGATGATATAGTTGTCAATGCCTTATAGCGACTTCACTTAAAGCATGGCTTTGTGGGAAGTATGTTTAGTGCATCAAAATGGAAAAATTGCAGACTTTCAAGCAGGTTAACATTAGATAAAAAGTCGTCTATACTTCATTTGACTTTATATTACGTGAAAGATATTAGTGAGATATAGCTAACTGGCAGAAAAACTAAGATTGTTTGGTTAAAAGCAAAATAGTAAGGTACATAAACATGATCTAGAGGCAGAACACAGCTCGTGAGAAATGGTTACGAATCACAGTGCTATCGTAGAAGACACAGCTATAATGACTTAAAAAAGTTCTTTCCGGAATTATAAAAAAAGCTTATACTCAGGCTATAGATGCATCTCCAAACCTACTGTCGGTCAGGGTGACATGCGAGTAGACACCTCTCAGGCATTACACTGGCAGGTAACCTTTTCCAACAAGCTACGAAAGGAATATTAACAACCGTAAGGGAGATGTTGGCCAACAAATCTATTAGTTAATAATATGTAAAGTTATGGAAGGAACGTGGTGAAATCCGGCGGAAGCAATATAACACGGAATAGTACCAAGAAGTAAGCAGATGTAGTAGCCTGATCTAGAAATAGGGTTCGAAGATTCTCGAAAAGAAGGCGACTGAAAAAAATGTTAATTTATCCTCAACATTGTTCTGATGCTCCACTTCTCAATAGGCCACTCGAATTTTTCACAAACAGTAATGAAGGCAAAATCAGGACCGGAGTAGAATAGTCTATCTGCCTATCCCGCGATAAGTAACAGTCTCCTCGTCATGTTACTGGGACTTCAAATGTAATTATCTATATATCCCAATAATTGTTTTGAAATAATATATGCCTCAATCTACCGATCTCATGGTCCCTGTTATCTACATCTTCTTGATGCAGGATCAGAAGTATCATTGATTTCCTAACTCTTACTTCAACTCTATATTTATGATTGGATAAAAATTGATAATATGGGTTGCTTATGCACATCTCTGCTCACTAATACATTCAAAAAGGCAACTTATTCTCAGGATCGAAGATATGAAGACCAAGATGGTGTGGCCTTTTGTGTGGTCGCAGTCTCCTTTCGTTGAATAGAA